TTAAACTAGCGCCCATGAGGCAGATCTGGAGCATCTTATGTCATGTGCTCCCTGCCTTGCAATTGGAAGCAGCCCGTCACCCCACACCGCCGCCTAATGAGGAAGCTCTGGCCCCACGCCTGCTTGCCATGCTCAGCTCTCGGGGCGTGGGAGGTTCGGGGCTCCTCTGTGCACGCCTGGGGCAGCTGGGGGGGCTCAGCCCCCTGCATTTCTGCTCCCCGGGGATTTAAAACCTCATCTCGTAAGAATCGGTGCTTGGCAGCTGCTGTGTTTTCAGCACTGCCTTCAGTCCTTTGTCATTAAGGGGTTTCGTCATCCAAATGAAGGATTTTCTTATACTGAAAGCAACGCTGCCTTTATTTAGAGGTTTACAGTCATCGAAAGCTTTTGATGCTCACAACCTGACAGGCTGAGCTGTAATTGCTTCCGTGAATTTGTAACTGATTCAAAAGTGAATCTGATCCTTCATCCTTATAAAAAGTGGATTTTAGCATGCCGCCTTAATGATTTCTCCATTAGGGCAACAGAAAGCAGGCAATGCGAGGAGCACGTCTGCCGGAACGATGACAGATACCAGCAAGAGGAAAGAGACGTTTCTCTAATGAATCAGATGTGGCCTGGAGGTCTGGAGGAAGAAGTGACTGTGCAGCATCCTGCTTCTGCCAGCAGTGGAGAAAGGCACAGCCAGCTGCAATTCAAGCATGCAGACCTGCTCTCTTGGCTAGAAGCACAACTCCTTCCAACTCCTCGTCTGCACAAGGGCACAATGCTACGAGCTACAATTCCCAATTAAAAAAACAGTGCAATTAATGAGCAGCAGAGAGAGGGGCGTCTCCAAAATCCCATCTCAGAAGCATTGGACTAAGTGGCTGCCCAGTACCCTTCTCTAGACTGAAACACCACAGTGGTTTATTCTGTTCTTTCTATAAGGCAGCTGGGAGAAACCCAGGCGTTACCTCTGCAGAGCAGCCCAGTGCTTGCAGAACGGTGAAGCAGGGGTAAAGCTGCCTGCCCAGCCTGGAGGAACTCAAACCCAGGTCTATAAGAGCACGCCAGCTTCTGCATGGCACAGTGCCTGCCCTGGGAGCCCCCAACAGCCCTCCTGCAGTGCCTCACCATGTTACCTGCTGAGAGCCCCAGACCCTGCGGGCGACCAGGGCAACGTGAGATTGCACAGCCTGGAAGCCCAGGGAGAAGCACCACTACTCCAGGTGGGCCTGGGATCGCCCAGGAGAATCAAGGTGTTAATGCCACGTGGCCCTCAGCATCTAGAGAAGAACAGCACAAGCAGCAGAGTTTTTGGAGTACCCAAATATACTTGTATCATGAAACATCAGCACACAAGCAGACGGCCAAAGTGCAACCCAGCTGTGTGACTTCCCTTGTGAACGCAGGGCTGAGGGAGCCCAAGCCAGCCATGCATTTCATACAGCAAATGTATGAAACGTGTACTCTCCTCACCAGCAAGCAATCTAGCTATGGCCCTATACTTTGTGTTGCTTTGCCACAACCACAGCTGTGCTGCACAAAGCACCCAGTGACGCACACACTTCATTCCCACAGCAGCTTGATGGGTGGGGGAACAGGATCAGGAATGAGCACGCACAGTTTGTGGGGGAATTAACCCTCTGCAACGTGCCACAGCTGTTAGAAACACGAATGCACACCCAGAGAAAAGCCTGGTGAGAGAAAGCTCCCTTTTAATTACATCTGTGTGAAAGCAGAAGTCGTTTAACTACAAACTGCCCCCTGCTTTGAGCGCTGTATCCTGGAGACCTGCAAGTTTATGAACTACTTCATGGAAACAGCTCTGCTTCCAGAACAAAATAACAGTGCAGCTGTGTGCACACACGACAGGCAGAGCTACAGAGCTGGAGGTTTCATTGATGATAGGATCTCAATATGCCCTCGCTCAAAACATGTGTAAAGCTTCAAAAACACCCATCCAAATTAAGGTTACGTTCCTCAGTCATCCCAACGCTCACTACCACAAGCCTGCTCTGTCCCTGCTGTTTTCTTTTCCTCACATGCTCAGCACTCCTGAGCCTGCCCAGTCCTTACTGTGACTGTCACTTCACTGGGTATCCAGAACAGAATTCCACCAAAAGCAAAAGCTGGACTTCTAGTTCTCTGCAGATTTACAAAGTGAGGAAACAGATCCTTCGCAACCCACTTTTCTTAAACATCACCTGCACAGTGATAGCAGCTTTCTGAGCACTGTAACCTCTCCCTGGGACGGCCCTGCTGAGCACAGCGAGCCCAAGGCACCAAACCCAGCCTGGAGACGGCTGAGCCCACAGCAAGCGCGGCGCACGAGATGTGACAGCAGCTCCGAGCCTCGGGTCAACGAAGGCACCCATAGAGCGGCTCCGGGCGCAGCGCCTCTCTGCAGGCGACGCAGAGCCGGGCTGTGTATCTGAGTTACGTGGCTGTTCTCTCTGCCACGTAAACCATCACGGCCGGCCGCTCAGCTCCGCGCAGCTCGGGCTGAACCCCGCCGCGCCTCACGGGCTGCCGCCGGTTCCTCTTTCCTAAAGGACCGCTGGCTTCACCACGGGGCAACGCGCATCCGTCTGCAGAAGGGGTATTCCCTCACACGCGCTCAGAAAGCACGGAAATACACTTTTGGAGACTCACTGCCAGCTTCTACCGAACCCAGGGCGGATTTTCTCTCTGTTTTTCCCTCAGACTCGGAGCCGACCGGCATCAAACGCCACATCCCGCACGGCACTAAGGCGTGGGCAGCGGCTCCGTCCCGCACCCGCAGCCCTTCAGCCGGGATTTTCTCTCGTTCCCTCCCAGTCTGCAGTCAGCTCTCTCTTCCCACCCTGCTCACCGACACTTCAGCTCCACTTAAAAGCACCTCGATCCTAAACGAAGGCTTTAAGGAGCGCAGCCCTTCACAACCCGATCCCCGCACACTCGTGATTTTCACGCATCCGAAGCTTTTTCCACGCGGCAGCCCTTCAGCGGCGCCCACCGCCCCACCCGCTCGCTTCCCTCAGCCCCGCCGCGCACGCGCGCACGCGCCGTTACCTCAGGAGCGGGCGGGCGGGCGCGCGCAACCCCTAGCGCGACGCGGGAACAGCGGCCGCGCGCCGCCACGCGGGGCCCCTTTAGCGCGCGCGGGAGAAGGGGGCGGGGCCTCCGCTGCCGCGCGCTGCTCGAAAGACCGCTTGGCCACGCCCACCTCCCCCGGCTGAGGTCACCCGCGGTTATTGACCCCGCTCTGCAGCGACACGTAGGGACGACGAGGGAGCGACACGCCGAGTGCACGCGGCCCATTCCCGGCTGCAGGGGAGGGGTGAGTCGGCCCCGAACAGAAGCAGAGAGCAAGGGAACGCGATGGAAACGGCTGTACTATTTCCTATCAGTGCTACGAGGGCTTTGCCCCAGCAAGCAGAGGAAGTGGTGCGATGACTGCTCACAGGACACAGGCTTGTGGGCAGCGCTGCAGCTCAGAGCACCGAGCACCAACAGACAGCACCAAGCAACCTGGCTGCAGCAGCCTGTGCTTCCCTGCGTGCCCCCTTTGCTTCTTTTATTTGTATAAAAACGGTCAAATAGGTCTTCTGTTCTCGGTTGGGAAGTTGCACAACAGCCAAGATAGTGTTTATCCTGATGGCCAAACAGCTGCATCCTCAAATGAGTTATTGCTGCTAGCCTGCCAGCACAGACCAAGAATTCCCCAGCCTTGTTTTTCCTGCATATTCCTCTCCCCGGCGCCTCCACTTCCCAGACACATTCCTCGCTCCCTTGTGGTGTGCAGGCACCGGCCAGGTCCTGCCAGCAGCTCAGGAACACAGCTGGAACAGCAGCAGGTGCAGAGGTGCAGCAGGTGCAGAGGAGAGGACAGCGCTGAGAACATCGCAGCTGCAGAACAGCCACAGCGCAGAGCTGGGGCTGCCAAACCGGCCCCAGGAACCTCACAAGGCGAGCTCTGCAGATTCACAAACCCAGGAGCTGTTGCTGTTATGGCTGCCTGCCATCATCTCCTGCAGAATCTCCACCCTGCCCCGGCTACCTCACCTGCTCCTGAATAGCTCGTCCATTTCCATATGGTGAATTAACTCTGGAGAGCGAGGATACAAACAGCACTGAATAATAACAGGTTGGATTGGAAGGGACCTTAAAGCCAAGTCAGTTCCAAGCCCCCTGCCTGGGCTGGGTGCCTCCCAGCAGCTGAGGCTGTACAGGGCCCCATCCGTGGCCTTGGGCACCTCCAGGGATGGGGCACCCACAGCTCTGGACAGCAGTGCTGGGACCTCACCACCCTCTGAGTAACAAATTTCATCCTCACATCTAACTTTAATCTCCCCTCTTTCAATTTAAACCCATTCCCTCTTGTCCTGTCACTGTCTGCCCCTGTAAAAAAATAATAATAATTGGTCTTCTTCCTGCTTAGTACTTAAAGCTCCCTTTAAGTACTGGAAAACTGCAATCCAAAGCTGTGGATAGATGTGTGAAGTTAGCAGCCCACTAACCTTCTTACTTCAGACATGCCTTAATTGTTAATCAGTACCTGCTGTGCTGACAAAGGGCAGAGAATTCTTGGAGACCCAAAAAAAGATTCAGTGGCACAGCCCAAAGGTTAACTGATGTGGCAGAAGCAACCAGTTCTATTTTGGATAATGGCCTGAGCCAGCAAATGACCTGGGGCAAGCTGCACTTTTTTTTTTTTCCCCTGTTTGTGGGTGAGGTTGCAACACTACAGAGGCAGATGTGGATGTGTCTGCAAAATTCAGAGCGAAGGGGACCACCAGCAAAGGAGCACATGAGAGCATAGCGTGTGATCCTGAGCTGCTATGGCTGCCTGCAGGAGTTCAGCTTCCACCACCTCCTAACAACGGGCTGTTGCTATTGACAGGCCTAACCCTTTGCAAACAAAGATGGAGTGGCCAAGCTTGAAGTCCTGGGGTGGCAAATGCACCACAGTGCACCCTTTGTCAAGGATCACATTCGTGGGCTCTACATTTATGAACAATTGACTCAAGTGCAGTCCCAGGGTTCTCACTTTCCGAGGCAACAAAGGCAGGTTGGCTCAAGCACCTCCAGGTAATAGGTAATATTACCTCCAGTTAATAGAAGTGCTGTACAGAAAAGCTCACATGGGCTGAGCTGCAGCTCTGGCTACTGGGCCAGCTGACACCAAAAGCTCTTTGCAAGCAACAGCTGTTCAGATCACCAGCTTGAGCCTGATCTCACTAAATTCTCATGCCATCAAAATTACAGCCAGTGTGAATTATATGTACTGACACGTTGGGGCAGGGAGGAAGCATGAAATGCATGTCTTAGTCTTGCACTTGTATCTGCTGCCTGCACAGACACTTGCAGTCGCTGGGACTTGAAAGGATTTTATTCCAGTTTCTCATCTGATGCCAGTCAGCTCTGCAGAAGCCACGTGCTGCAGCACATCTCCTGCCAAGAGCAGCAGCCAAAGCAAAGCTGTGAATTTTATAGTAAAGGCCCAGATAGGTGAGCGCAGAGCCTTGCTGCTTGCCTCTGTAAAGCACGCCTAACAACTGAAGCAGTCGTCTCAATGATCGATCCGTATCAGGGCATTATTGCAGATTTTCCAAATTAACGAAGCTGTCAAACCCTTGTATGGAGTCCTACTTTTAGGTTGACACGGATCTGAAGAGTGGTCACATCTGCTGTCCTGACCAAAAAGGATCCCAAAGCAGCAGGGATTTGCTGGGGGAGAACAGGAAAAGTTCTTGGTTACAGTCTGGCTATGGAACAAGCTCCAAGAAAACACCACCAGCCAAATCCAAGTATTCAAGAAACCCAAAAAAAGGGTTAAAAATCCACCACCACAGCACACCTTTCCCCTTTGAAGAAGCCTTTTCATTATTCTGTTGCTCTTAATAGTGACACAAGAAGAGATTGTGGGAGAGGGGGAGCTGGCTACAAGTTAAGCAGCCTCAAGTTGTGCTGATAGTGCAGGCTCAGCTGAGGTGCTGTGCAATGCCATCAAGGGCAGAGATGGGAGAGATGTAGGATAAGAGCCTTAATATGATCCAGGATAAATGCAGACTGGGCCCCTGTACTTCATGCTTGTGCATGCCAAATCACCTGACTCCTGTTACAAAACCATTTCCTGTGACTTACAAAATTCACTCCATGTTCTGGAAAAAACATAAAAAAAAAAAAACAAACAAATTCCATTTGCAAATTCTTTCCTACCTTAAGCAAAGAATCAGCTCTTAATACAGCTGTGGACACGCAGAGAAAGTGCAAATAAGTTCCTGGTTTAGGTAACTCATTCCCCATATGGAACAACTCATTTCTGCCCACTTGTGTGACCCGAGGCAGTTTACACAATGCAACACTTTCATCACCCTTCCAGTTCATCACTGGCATTGGATCTGTAAGCTATTCTGAGCTAGCAATCCTCCAATAAAGTTCACAATTTCCCAGCTCCAGAGTTACTGGTAGCAAGCGACTCAACCCAAAGCATGGTTGCACCTCAGGTCAGTGACCTGAAAGATAACAGAAGGGTGGGGGGCAGCCAATGCAGCATTTCATCAATTTCTACATGGAGGAGAATGAATGCACTGAGAAAACAGCACAGGAAATAAGTGGTCACAAGGAAGGATGGGAGACAGAGGAGTTTGTTTACCACACAGGCATTTCTCAACTTGAGCAGCACGGCTTATCTTTCCCACCAAGGACTTGTCCCATCTTTCTGGTCACATGAAAGAGTCTATAGCAAATAGGTGTAGGTACCTCTGGAGTACAAAAGAAAAACAACTGGCTAAAATCCCAAATTAAGGTCTAGATTCATATCAGCTGCACAAATCAGTGTAGCCTTAGCAAAGCCACAGTCTGCAACAGGACACAGCAGTTGATAAGGTGACCTTTAGCTGACTCAGTAAAGCCAGTTTGCAATAACACAACCCTCCTACAGTTTGGCCCTCATAAATAAAGTTGTAGGGAGCAGTACGTTTGTCCTGGCTGTCATAGGCACCTGTGTAAAACACAGTGCATTACAAAGACATTCATGACAAGTGAAGGGGATTAGGATTAGAATTTCTTGTCTATATAGTCATTTAGTTTGATGCCAGCTATCACTTCTCTTTAAAGAGCTTATCTGTGTTCCCTGAACACTGAAGCTAAAAGCCACGCTAGGATGTTATTTTTACCCACAGGTGATTTCACTCTTTCAAAAGAATTTGATCCGAATTTGGATGCATACAGAAGCTGCACACAGAAGAGTGAAGTTGCTCCCAGCAGCTCAGAAAGAAAAACACAGCTGCGTCTCAGGGACTTCTGTAAAGCATTACATCTTCCTCACTACTGTAGGATGGAAACGGCAGGCTTGCTTTCCTGATTACCAAGTCAGTTGTTGCAATGGTGTCACAAGGTTTACCAGGCGTGCCTTGCCCAAAGCAGAACAAAGTCACGTCCTAGCTGTCCTCAGGATTTAAACTGTGTTGTAACAAAAAAGAAAAAGAGGATGAGCATGTAATTACAGCAAGACACAGAACATGCAGCCTCACTTAATTACAGCAGTCCAGATATCAGCCTGTGTCCTTTAAGGCAATGTAAGCAGTACATCTGCTGATAGTGAGCTGGCTATACTTGGACTGCAATGCAATACCTATGCCCTAATAATTCAATGTTAAACGTTAATAATCCATAGGGCTACTTATTTTTGTGTGTTTTTATGAGAAATCTCACTAGAAAACAAAATGCTTTGTCATAAATACCTTTAACTTACCCATACAAACAACCCAAAAACCTTTCTCTTTAATAGTTCCAAACTTCCACACTTTGTCACAGTTCAGGAGGGAAGAAGTGACCTGAAGCACTGAAAGTATTCACAGGACAGGCAGATGGAAGGCAGCTGATCTGGATTTCAGAATAATTAAAACCCTACAGGTAGGTTATTCTGCATCAGGTGAGAACATCTATTCAGTATTTCCTTCCTACAGGATAGCCAGCAATGCCTACAAAGCTGCAGCAATGCATTCCAAGCATTTTTTGTTGAAGAAAACTACCCCTCAACAGCCAAACAGGCTTAAAGAAGTCATTCTATAGCAGCTGCAATAGTTATCACCTCTTGTTGCCTGCACTTACCTTAGCTGCTGCAGTTTATGGCATAGGTCAGCCTCACTCTGCTGCCTCTATGGGCTACAAAGTCAAGCTTTGTATGGAGATAGGCAAAGCAAAAAGCACATGTACCTTTCTCCTGCACAGATGACAGATTTTGGCAGTAAGCTGGATGAGACAGGTGCACCAAAGTTTGCTACAGCTTGTCTGTCAAAGCCTTACAGGCTCAGCTATACCTCACTTACATACAACCAAGGTTGTGTGCTGCTATCCTTCCAGCAGGCCATCAAGAGAAACCCAACACATCCTTCCTACATACGTGTGAGCAGAGTGAGCCACTCAAACCAGCAGATCACAGCTTTTTAAGACCCAGAAGGACAAGGAGCAAAGTGCTCATCCCAAGCTGCTACCTCACAGCTGGTGGCTGCCAGCCCTGCAAATATTTGCTAAGTCATTTCAGACAATTGAAATGTCTTACGTAATGTAAATAGCTTTCCTAAATTAGGGCACCCGATTTCACCTGATACTAATTTTGGTCATTTCTCATTTGCACTTCTTTTAATACTCACCACCAAGATGCATGAGAAGGTGCTGCAAATTTAGGGCAGTAATCTTACCAACTGCATATCTATATCTGGAAGGCATATAGCTTTAGTGCAAGGCACTCCAGTAGCTGGCTTGTTCTAAGGACTGATTTCACACAGCTGCAGACTGGGCAGCAGTCACACATACTGCTTTGTCAGAAGAGAAATGGAGAAAATAACTCTACCTGTAAGGAAATAAAAAGCTGATGAAAGTGTAACATCTTCAGCCAGAAGCTGTCTGTTATTAATATTAAGCTAGAAAAAAAAAATGTAAAAAACAGATCCTTTTTTTATTTTGCCAGCGTAGCTGCCTTCACACAAGACCTTTTTAGAAGTGCCAGTAACAGCTTAGGGGAGGGATTTTTCAGTTTTGTTTTGGGCATTTCTTTTCTGCAGTCCCAGTGCATGCTGCTGCACTGACTGAACAGCAACATGAGCTAGATGCTCACTGACCTCACCCTCTAACAAAGCACCTCTCCTTAGTGGCTCCTCCATCCTTTGGGTGAGGAAGCTGTTGTTGACGCTCCAGGAACCACCTGGGTTTCTTATGACCTGCTTCCTGACTGTCCCTTCTAAAAGGCTTGTCTCTGCCCACTGCAGCACTCCAGCTGTGGGAGCCATGCCACCGTATCTGTGTGATCCCAACAGGACTGTGGCCCTGCAGCTGCACACCTGTCTCTAACTCACCATGTTTATTTCTCTTATTTCCTGTATCAACACGCAGGCTTCAGAAATGTACCCTGGTGCATAGACTTTCTAGCAAGGGTTTGTGGGATTTCTTCTTTCCTTACATGCATGTGTCTGAGGTGACCCCACTTAAGCCCTGCTTTGTTGATCTTGTGTTCCATTCCTGCCATATCACCCCACTGACCCCGTCTGTCTCTCCCTCCCTGCATTGCTGGTTTCTCTCTTCTAACCTGTCTGTAGTTGTACGGAAAAGTGAGACAGTCATTTTTGCTCCTTGCAACAGAAAGGAATTTCCATGTTTTACAGAAGGGAATTTCCCTGTTCTACTAGAATCTTATGCCAGAACTATTCAGTCACTGAGAGTTTAATTACTTCAGTGTTGCCTCCATACAGAAGCTGTGTTGACACACTGTACTGATTCAGTTACATCAACATGACCACAGTTACATCAACATGACAGCCTTTGGCCACATCCAAGCTTTGGACGCATGCTCTCCCAGTTCCTGTGGGTCTTGGAGGCACCTCTCCATGCTGGGTGTGACACACAGACCCCCATCAGCAAGGTGGCAGAACTGCTTTTTCCATGGCAATACACAACGCCCAGGATTTCCAGGCAGCCCTGGCCAAACCAAGCAGCTAAAACTCCAGATAAATACTGAGAAAGGAAATTTCTGGGGTCAGAGAACATTTGGACGTCTGCCCATGCTAAAAAAAAAAAGTAATGGCTGGAGGAAGACACAAAGTTGAGACCAGCAACCTGTTCAGAGTACGGCTCAAATCCACTGGACTTCTGGGCTCACTCAGACCAGCAGCCACCTCTGTAAGCAGAGCAGGGTGCACACCAGGTATTGCATGCTGCCTCCAGCCTCACTGCGCCGTGCATTTTGCTGCAAACTGTTGTGAAACTTGCTGCCACTCAGTGGAAATCCAATAAGGTCAAAGGGAAGGGCTGGATGCCTTTTCTTTCTCTCATCTTCAGGCTCACCTGTTTTCCCTCAGTTTAGATAAGGCTGAAAGGAAAGCAGCAGTGCTGTGGTGTGCTTGCATGACAGGGCAGTGCCTGTAACATTAGAATAAGTGCAGGCCTGAATTCACTTTCTTGCTGAAGAAACACAGTCAGAGTGTTGGCAGACGACGATGTGCATTCTGGTGCCATTGGGAAATTCCAGTATGGCATTGGAAAATCAACTCTCAACAGATTTGTTTTTTTAAGTCCAGCCAAAAGCACAGAAGAGAGCCTTTATTTGGCCAGCAGCAAATTGAGAAGTTGATGATGCAGAAGACAGCACACCTGGGGCTACGATTTGAGCAGGCACTCACCCAGCAGAATCAGCACGCAGCACTGCTCCAGATGTGGCAGCTCTGTGCAGGGAAGGCCATAGTTCCACTTTGCTGTCAGTCACTTGAAGGGGTTTCCCCAGGAGTATCTGCATGGAGATTTACTCTGCTCTCAAGCTGAGCAGCCACCTGCCCACAAAAATAGAACTCATCCATTTTGCATCACTAGTTAAAATCACTATGTTAAATTTTTCACTGATATTATATCCATATATATTAAAAAAATGGATTGGCTTGGGCGATCTTCTTAGCTTGCATTGGATGATGCTACCTATGCTTTGGTAAAACAGATAGATGGAGCCACCAGTTCAAGCTCCTCATATTCTACATCAGGTGTGCAGAGATTACTCAGCAGTAAAATCTGACACTGATGGGTGAACTTGACACAGAAAGCTTTCTGATAGCAAAGTGCTGCGTGGGTTTGATGTCTGATGGGTAATGATGAGGATTCTCCCCCCATTAGAACTGCCTGAACACGAGCAAACAAGTTTTTTTTCTTTTTTTCTTTTTTTAAGAAAAAAAGACAGAAGACTTTTTGTTGTTGTTGTTCTTGATCTTCTGAGAAAGTTTTCATTTTCTCAGTAAAACAAGGCAATGATTGCATTTGTATTTCATTATCAGCTACCAAAACTGTATTTTTCACAGATGAGGAAGGATCACATGACATTTGCAGGGCTTTTACCATCATAAAGAGACTATTTTTGGTCAGAATTTCCTTTCAGTCAAACTAATTCAAACAGTCCCTTTGTGCAGCGATTATGAGACAGGATTTAACTGCGTTCCAGCTGCCCTCCTGTGGGTAGGAGGTAACTGCAGCAAACGTGATACCTCACCACCAGGCCTTGTTTCTTCTCTATCTTCACCCACAGCTTTCTTACAACAAGACTCATTCAGCAGATCCACCTTGGAACTATCCAAGTTTGAAAGGGATGAGATCTGGTGCATGCAACAGGAGCACGAAAGAAGGGAAAATTAATTCCAGGGACCAGTTTGGCACAACAAATGACAGACAGGTCCTAATTAAAAATAGCAACCCTATGATTATTATCCAGCCTCCCAGGATGGAGCTGGCTAACTTCCAGAAGGTGCTTTATCAAAGGTTGTGTGCTGGGCATTATTAAGCATGTTAGGCTACTGCTGGCAGGGTGAGACAGAGATCTGCTTTGGATTTCACATAATAATTGTCACTTCTGAAAGCATAAGCACCTTTCAAAATGTTTTGCACGTGTCTTGCAGAGGTGCAGATTCCACACAAGACGTAAAACAGAAGAGAAACCTGCTCTAAAAGCTGAAATGATAACAGATCTGCAGCAACACATTGCAGGCAGAACTGAGCTGGGAAGGCCTGCAGGTGCCTCTTAAGGATTTCATTAAGCTCTTCATAAATTTGAGCAGTGATCCAAAGTAAACAGAATGCAATTCAATACCACCAAATGCAAAGCACCCTGCTTAAGCAGGAATAAGCGACCACGTTGCTGCAGGAAGAGAAACAACTACCTACATAGCATCTCTGTAGGACAGACCTAGATTTTTCTTAGCAAAAAAATGCAGAAAGCAAGAGAACTGGGGAGAAGAGAGAGAGCAATCCTCAAACACATCAGGTGTTGTAAAGAAGAAGATGTAAATCTGGTTCCCATTTCCCACATGAACAGAACAACAGGGAGGAACTCACTGCAACAAGTGAGAATTAGGCTGGAAATGGGGAGGGGGGAAATTGCCCAGCTTGCACACTGAATAAGGAGAGGCTGGGACATCACTGGTTAAGATGCAAGATTTTAAGAGAAGGTAAGAGTGAAACCTGTCAGGTAAAACATAGGTAAAAGAGGTCCTGTTTTTTGTTGATTTATAAGTGTATCTGATCTCTCACAAACTGTTCTTTTCTATTTTACTGCTCATTAATCAATGACACCTTCATGTGAAAGTTGCCATTTAAATAACCTTGCTTTAAGGACTACAGTCCTGTGAAAGAAAAGTGAAATACTTTCCTTTTAACTTCTGAACATTGCAACCAGGATGACTTTGAGGCTCACACACACAGCGCTGTCCTGTGAATTTTTCCAAGGTAACTCTCACAGAAACCCACTGAAAACCAACCTCAACCCTGTGATCAGATGCAGACCCAAAAGCCTTCCACGGTCCTGCAACATTCAACCTCTCTGATTTCTATTCTCACTCACTTTCAATCTCTTTCTCCCCTTTTTCCCGTAACTCTGTTCCTGATATGTTAGGTAACAACACCAATAATCCTGTGGGTTTGGAGCTGGCTGTGTTATTGGAGTCTCCATGGGTACAAATTCCACGCACTTCCTTGGCTTCGGCTCTGACATACTTTTCAGAAAACGCTACAGAAAAAATCATCATGAAACCCTTTATTCCACGTCAGTGTGAGGCTTCTCCTTGCTCCTGTTAACACGCCTCATGGAGATTTTTCCCAGCCATTGAGAAGAGCATGCAGAGATTTCACTGTGTTTCTCCGGGAGAAAAAGAAAGAAAGCAAAACTCAGAAGTTTTCTATCAAGTCCTATAAAGATGCTGTTTTCCTTGGCAGCACCTGCTTCCAAAAACTGTTCAAAGACTGAGCATGTCTCAGTTTTCATTAAGCAGGGCTCACTGCTGGAACTGAAATAAGTGGGATAGGAAGCAGGGAGCAGAGTGCTTCCCTCTCTACTCCAAAGCTCTTACAAGCTCGGGTCTGTGCTGCACTCCTTGGTGATTTTAACCTTGAGAGAAGGATGCAGAACTGGGTGAGCAGGGCATGACAGCTCTGAAG